TTGAGTTGTGAGCCGCCCTGAGTCCCCCCAGGGAAAAGGGCGGCATACAAATAAAGCATCTCAATCTCAATCTCAAAACACAAAACCACCTTCTTCATAAAGCAATATAAACACCGAAGACTTCCACTGCATCAGTAAAAACTTTCATAGGTTTAATATGTCGTGCAATTTTTTTTCTCGGCTGAAATCTTAACATAATACAAGCAGCACTTCAATGAGTATCTGGATCATCCAAGCCTTTGGTCGCAACATTTCCTTGTGCAAAGTCATCTATATTAAGAGATGGAAGCTCTCTTTTGCCCTCTCTGTATGAAATTTGGCTCTAGGCCATTTTTCCTACATATTTAAAAACAATTGCAATTGCCATCTACATTCCAATTAACTAGGTATTTAGGCTAGATCGCACGAAGTCACTGCTTAAAACTAGAAGAGGCCAATGCATTCCATGATACAGAATTTTCCGACACAGTCATATTTTAGCTTTTGTATACTGTATAGGTAATGCCCAAATGAGAGGCAAGATGCACAATTTTGGATAACATAGAACCTATACAGGAATCTGTCCCAAAAGGATTTGCCTTTTGCCATTTTTCCCCTCTTGTTCAGTGAAACATTACCAGACCAAGAAAGGAGCACACTAACAATAAAAGACAGTGGGTTTTTTTCTACTTTACCTAGCAATAATCATGTTGTCCAATTCAAATTGGACATTTTAAAATGTGTGATTGGTATCAAAAAGAGAGGATTGTTTTTGAGGGGAAAGTGTGTTCCACAACTACCTTGCAAGTCTTTCACTATTCCTCGAAATATCTAGAAATACAGATTTTTATAAGACTTTATTATCATTAGCATATGTATGTGAAGGCTGTTCAGTATCCCAGAGTCATTGCACTGATAAAACTTCTAAATTAAATGCATGAATTATTCCAATTTCTTCAGGGATTTTGGCACAATCACCAAGTTCTGTAGAATAAAATCCCTGAGAACTGATTAAATTAGCAGTATTTCCTCTCAGCTGAAACATCTAGGCTTAAGGGTTCAGACCCATAGGAAAAGTTCAAACCAGTTTCTTATTATTCTCAGCATTCTGTACAGTGGTGACAAAATCCAGAATAAGCTTTGCTGTTTTTCTGGGCCGTTCCATGACTAAATTGTGCCCGCAATTTTCCAGAATATGTACTTGGGCACCAGAGATTGATTTCGCTAAAATGTCTGCTCCTGAAACATCCAGCACCTAGAGAGAGAAAGATAATCAAGAAAAAGTGAGCTCCATGTTGACCATCCCTGGATTCAGCAAGATATTCTGAATTACCTCAGCACCAAATTTGGCTCACAAAGGAACCAATCTGACTGCACAAGGAAACAACTAGGACAAGAAATGTTAAGACAAAAAAGCCACAATTTTCACACTTGTTTTCATAAATGGAGTTCCATAAGGGAGAATATTCGTAGCTCAAGGTTGAAATAAGGGATCCTTGGTGCTCTCTGAGCTTGGTGGTTTTCTTGTTTCTTACCCACACAAGATAACATTATCAGGGCTAGTCTAGCACTGATGTTTACCTGCTGTGGATAATGAAATGCCTGCAAGAAAATCACCAAGCTCAGAGAGCACCAGGGACTCCTAATAAAAAGAACTGTTGCTATATCATGGCAAACACTGATATGTGACGTATCTTTTACTAATCAATTTTCATGACTCAAAAATATCATTGGCCCGTGATGGCAAACCTATGGCATGTGTGCCAGAGGTGGCACGCAGAGCCCTTTCTCTGGGCACACGTGCCATCGCCAGCTGCTCTTCCAAGTTTTGGCACGCACATGTGTGCTGGCCAGCTGGTCTTTGCATGTGCGTGCTGGCCAGCTGATCGTGCTTTCTGATTTCAGCACTCGGTGCCGAAAAGATTCGCCAACACTGCCATAGGCTGTTGGAGATTGTCCATGCTTGTTACAGTTTGAGATGGCTAGCAGTAGAAGACATGGGCTCTATGTGAGAATTAGGGATTTTGAAGAAAGGTTGCTGGAGACTATGACTGTGTACCGTTATATACTTAGGCCCATTCTCATTCAGGCTCATCTAGGTCTTCCCTCTTTTCTTCCCTCTACTTCCTTCACAGAACATCATTTCTCCATTTGCCACCATTTCCTACTTTTTTTTCCTGTACTTTCATTTCTTTCCCAATGTCAGCTATTTGTTAGCTACACTATATTGCCAAAAGTATTCGCTCACCCATCCAAANAATTTCGTTGTATTTAAGTACAATGACAATAAAGATTATACTTATACTTGATTCCCCCAGCCCTATTTGAGAAAAAGACTCATGACTCTCTAATGGAAATGCATTGCAAGGTAATTTGATTGCATTCCTAAATAGAAGTTGAAAATACAAGGAATTGCAAGGATTTGATTGGAACAAATCAGTCACAAATAAAGTATTTTAATTGGAACAAAATTACAGTATTATATAGTGGTATCTCACTTCCACAGTGGTTGTAAAATCAGAAACCACACCTGATATCAACATATTCTCTTAATGTTTCAACACATACAAGTTTTGTTCAAAGTCAAATTACTTTGGAATCAGTTCACTCATTTAACTGCCATTCTAAAATATGCATTGGGTATAGATTACATATACCTAATATGCTGCAAATTGTTACTCAATGGAACAACATTCATTGAATGTTTCTTGGTGGGAAGGGGTTTTCACAAGCCTCCATATAAATATAAAAAGGGAAAGGGTAGTTACAAGGATGTAAGAAGTCCAACTTTCTAAATCTGATACAGAATTTTTGTTCACTAAAGAACTGCACTCAGAAATGAGAACGCATACTCAGGAAAAGGAATACTGTATGCTTTATATTCTTTAGATATTATTTTAAAAGCAGAATATGTGGAAGATTGATAAATTATTCACTTTGCAAGAGTCTGGTGAGCATAACAAATAAACATTTAGAATACCCCAATTCTACTTTATTGGTGTGCATTTCAGTTCCTCCACTCGAACTCAACAATTCACAGAATTTACAAAATTTGTCAAGTAAATTATTTACTCAGTAGAACATTTAATAAAAAGGGACAGCAGGGGAAGCTGAAAAAGCAGTTCCACCCAATTCTAACCAAAACGTGATCACATCTACATTTATTTACATACAGTGTTATTGCTTGGATCAGGTCCCATCTTGATTGAAACAATGGCTCCAGAAATGGCTTTGGGACAGTTCCATTTGCTTTATTAGATGTACAATAAGATTACACTTCACAGGGAGTTTGCTAACCGCTTGCATCAGAAACAGTCA